CCACAAAGACTCATCATCATTCAGCCGGGCCAGCAGAAGCATAAGAATCATCACCAGCCTTTTGGGAACCATTCCACACCCACAAAACCCAACTCATCCAAGCCACTCACCAGCTCAAATAGAATCAACACTGCTTCTCACCTCAAAATACATCAACACCCCTCAACACCCTCTCATTCAAACCAAACACCTATCACAATCGATCTCACTGAAGCAGACTCTCCCGAACCAATCAAAACCAACTCGAACGTCTCAAAACCTGCAACACCACTCAAAACACCTAGCAAGAAACCCATCATCCATCCTAATCAATCCAACACTTCAACACCAGCATTCAAGACGCCAATCAAGAACGCCAACAAACCTACCCATCAGAACCTACTCCTATCTAATACTTCAACCCCATTCAGAACGCCGCTGAAATCAAATCTGAATGGCTTGGATTCCCCATCATCAGTAGGCAATCTCTCCGACTCATCACCAACCACGCCGGGCAGTCCTTCGACCCTCCGCTGTGCTGGTGTCACTCAACAGGGTAAACCTTGCTCCAGGAAACCAATGAAAAGACACAACCAAGATTTCGATCGCCTGGAGCGAATCCTCGACAGCTCGAGCTCCGCTCCCGATGACCCTACTTCTACCACCTCCACTCCCACTAATAATCATTTGAATCCCTCGTCTAGAGTGCCTAGGTTTTGCTTCCAACATTATCAGAAATTCATCTCTCAATCTAAATCTTTTCGCGAAAATAGTCGGTTGATCACATATTCTGGTTTGTTTTCATTCTTCAAGTTTTTTTTTTTCTTTCTCTTCGTTTCTTAATTTCTTTTCCCCTCGATTATTAAGACCAATATCCACAGATAAATAAATGACATACTAATTAAAGTGATGATGGTTCTGTTTGATTTTAGAATGGATTGCGGAAGAACTGCCCGAAACAGTGAGGATAACGTTGAAGATGGAGATGGAAAAGTATCCGAATCCGAGAGACGGGGACGACAGCGGATACTTATACTGTCATGAGATGCATCCCCAGCCGGATAAGCAGAGAGAGGAAGAAGAAGAAGAAGGAGAGGAGGGGACGTACATCAAAGTAGGCCGATCGATACGACCGATCGCCAGACTTGGAGAATGGAAGAAACAGTGTCGCTCGAAAGACCCGATCTTGCGAGGCTTTTTCCCCGAATCATCATCATCTTCAACAACAACAACAACAAGCACCACAGCCACAACAGAGGATGCGAGAATCTCGGAGACGTGTTGTTATCTCGACGGCGCCCAATCAATCGCCCCCAAGGGAATCCGGTTCCATCGCAAATGGGAACGGCTCACCCTCGTCGAACTCACTGGGTGGGCCCAACTGCACTTCCCCGCTCATGATCCTAAATCTCCCTGCATCGATTGCGCCAAAGTTCATGTTGAAATCTTCTTTCTTAAACTGGGCTCTTATGAGAAATTGGTCAAACCTACTATCCTTAAATGGCTTCATTGGTGCTCAACCCATTATTCCTAATCAAAATCAATCACTTGCTTCACTTCTTTTTTCTTTTTGCCTTTTTTTGGGGGGGTGGACTGTGTTCAAGTATACAAGTGTTGTATTGTTTTGTATTCTGATCATCTTTCTTGAGAATATGTTTCTATATCATCCTTCTTTTTATCCTGATTCTTTGTCTCGCTCTCTCTTGCTCTAAATTTCCCAGCTTGATATATGTATCTTTCCTGTAAATGAACTGATGTCATCATCATCATTATCATCATTCTCATATGGACGATTAATCTACTCTACTCTACTTTTCCTCTTTCTCTCTATCCTTTTTTTTATCTTGCTTTAATTCTGTCAACATACCCCACCCCCTCCCACTTAATCAAGTTTTTTTATTCTCCTTTTGTTGCTCAAATTGTACATAGTCTCTGTCTCTCTGTCTCTTTATTATGTTCATAATCCTCAGGTTTTTCTTGGGAGTTTTTTGTGATAATGTGTTTTGCAAAAAAAATCTGTTGTCATGTTATGTTCAAGTAAAAAAAAAATTGTGTATGATAATGTATCCTTTAAACAAACCCAATTGTCTGTCTGTAGTACTTTCTTACAATAAATCATTATTTTCTGAGCCAGCTGACATGTCCCCCTTTTTATTTTATTTGACATAGTGCACATTAGTGAATACTGAATGGTGTATCCTTGAGAGAGTATCACTATCAGTATGGGCAAAAATTGGATGTGTTGTGTATGAATCTTCCTGCTCATTGTGAGCCATTATTAGCCTGGTTCACAATAGCCAGTCATCAGCCAGATTTTTAGCTGCAATCAGCAACTTGTTGATACTCAAAAACAAATCCATTCATGAATGTGTAGTCCAGATTATTCCAGATCCATCCTCCAATGGTTGTACTTTTAACAAGGTGATCATCAGCCACTGAAACTGGCTACTGCAAACCTGGCTATCAAACCTGGCCCAACATTCAAGTATCTGATGAATTGGTGAGGTATTCCCAGTTATCATATTCAGGTCTTCTTCCAATTCATAAATGTCGGATTTCCAGTTCCGGCCCAAAAACCGAAAAGAGATGTCGCAAGGAGCTTGATTCAGCCTCATCCTCTTACGGTAAGTGATAGCTCAAACGAGTCCAACTAAGACCGAGCATAACAACTCATCCCTGCTTTGAACCCTTCTTTCTGATCCAAAGCAGATGAAAGGCGTCAGATGACAGCAAGGGAAAGGGCCCAATCTGGGACACCCAAGGAGACTCAGAACCTGCTTGTGCCCACCGAGGACGGCAAGCGGTCAGACCTGTGAGTATATAATGAGCCTATTCTCTGTGTCCAGGATAACAATCCCCAGACTAAATCAATCGCTCATTTGCTTAAAGCCACCACAGTACCATCTCCCACCGAATCTCTACCAAACCACTTGCCAACCGCATTAGTCCCCAAACCGCAGAGTAAGCTTCCCTCTAGGATGACCTTGCTTGTGACTACAGAACTAATCGGTGACTTTACATCCCTTAACAGACAACGATCTAACAAACCCGTGACTTAGGAAGTCTTACCATCGTGCCCACGGCCAGGGACCCTATCTTAGTACGAACCTGAGGACTTACCTGGAAGGAATGCTCAAC